ACTTTTTTTCAGTTATGACCATTTTCACCATACTTTCTGGACAGCGTCTGTATTCCATATAAATGTATTTTATTTGGAATTTTTCCTCTTTCTAAACCCGTGAACTGAGTGCATTCGTTTTCCTCTCCACTTCTGCTTGCCCTCAGCTTGACCTTTTCTCCCAGTTCATGATAAACTGGAAGTGACTCATAATTTCATGATCCCTAAGTCCGCCCGTCTCCTTTTCGTCTCACTTCTCTGCCACTCCCAATTGCTGAGTCAAACATGAAGGTCTTATTTTGCAATGAAAATTTCTCCTGGTTTCCCCTCAGCAACTTCATTTTGCTTATAATTGTTTTTTGTAATGGATTCCGCTTCATTAAACGAAGCTCTCATTGCAGCTGTAATAAAGAGACAACTTTTATATATGGCAAAAGTGATGATGTCCAAAAGAGTTAACATTTCAGACAATGGCAAGAAATTATAATGTGAAATTGGAATCAATGGTATGTTCATTGTTTTTAATTTCAGAATTGAATAGAACTGTATTCTTTATCTCTTTCTCTCTCACACACACCCACACACGCACCCTGATAGTTGCAACATCGAATGATCACGAGCATAGAGCAAGCCAGGTGAAAAGCGTACAGCATTCTGCTCACTCCCATTTTATGCTCATTCAGTTTTAAAAGGGTTACAACCGGAAAATGACTTAACCGAATGCACTCAGTTTACACATTAAGACATCTGTTTCCATCTTATATTTATAAAAAATATCTCACAAAAGAACCCTGCATTTTGCATGTCTCTTTGCGTTATGTTATACATACCAGTGTGCTTGGCGCTCATATGACCCTATGCAGTTGCGAGCGCCGTAAAAGCTCTATTAAAACAAAACATACCAGTGTGCCATGTAACAAACCATTCAAGTAATTTAGGGTTCTTTGCATTTCAACATCACTGAACCTATTGCAGTTCCAGAGTTTGGCTTTTGTTAAGCCGCAGACATTGCAGAAGCAGAAAAGAATTGTTTGTACTTTGGACATAGAACTTGCCTTCATATTGCAAGTACTTGTATATTTAATGTAAAAAACAAAGGCAGTGTAGAACTACAGGATGAAATTCCTAATTCGGTCTTTGCGAAGTTCTGTAAATGTACCCCTGCTGAATTTTTTAAAACTGGGTTTATGGTTTATTTCGGAAAAGGTTGTAATATTGTTGTAGGAACCATAATGATTTTTTTTTTTTTTAAAATATTGCCAACAATTCCTGCAATGTCAAATGACTCTTCATAAAGCATTACTCTCTTACCCTTGAAACATGGCTTTACAATGAGTGTCCAATCTCATCCAACCTCCCAGGTGCTGCAGAGGTCAAGCCTGCAGAGATTTGTCCATGGCAGGATGTTCATCCCAACTCTACAGAAGACTGATTATGACTCACAGGAAGTTACTTCAGCTTATAGTGGGAATTCGCGATCTGCAAAGAGGTTTCAGGACACTCACATGAGCGGCAATATTCATTGGACCAGCACTGAATCACCCTCTGGGATGGGCATGGGTGGAGAGACTTCCCAACTTGGTACTGTTTACATCTGTCAGCTGTGCTCGACTACCTTCAGCTCACAGGATGAGCACTCGGCACACATGACTCAAATGCACCAATATGTACCATGTCCACACTGTGACACCTGGTGTCCATCATCATCAGCGATTAAGGGTCACATACACCGAGAACATCAACCAAAATTTGTTTGTGACCTGTGTGGCAAAAGATTTCACTGCAAGATCAACTACAAAGGTCACATGAATATGCATTCTGGAGCAAAGCCTTATACGTGCATTAAATGTGGCAAGGCATTTGCATATCAGCAATCAAAACATGCTCATCAAAAGATGTGTTTTTATGTTCCTTCCTCTTCATGACATTTTTGATGTCATCAGTATATGTTTCCTTCCTTATCTGAAAGTATGAATTCTCTTTTTCAAATGGAATGTTTGAGTACAGTGGAACTCGGATTTAACGAGCTCGGATTCAACGAGAACTCGGCTTCAACGAGATGAGATAGATTCCCCGTTTTTTTCCTTCTTTAAAATCATTTAAAGTAACCCGGATTCAACGAGCACTTAAATCAGCAAGCTCAGATTCAACTAGGTCGCTTCCAGGGAGAACAGCCCCCGCAGACGTGGCTTCGCGCATTTTTCTCCCAGAACGAACTTTATCTATTCCGGGAAACCATCCATTGCAACTGCATCGTGAACCATTATTCACTTACCCAATTGCATGCGACCATTCAGCGGCTTTTTTTCATACCAACACATGCGCTGTTGGCTTGCGCACGGGTCTACTCTGGCGTGTGTCTGGGTTGGATGGGCGGCCTGCACACGTGTTACTGTGTGTGTGCGTCGGGGGGGGGGGGGGGGTGGCACTAGCGGTCCGGGCGTTGAACGTCGCAGATACAAACGGATCACAGTCTTTTTTTCCCCCTCGGCAACTGACCATTATTACAATGATAAGCTAGTCTTGAAGTAGATCTTCGTAATGAATTGTGCGCTGGTCTATGGAATCAAAAGTTGCCGTATGCTAGGCTCTATACAGCAACACGGCTTTGTGGTAAACAATCGAGATGTCACAGGCGTGTGCATTTGAACGAATCGGTCTGTTCTTTTTTACACAACTCATAATATGCAGGCATTTCAGGCACTATTTGTGACCACTCTTTATACATTACATGCTCAGTGCCTGTAATTATCTACACAAAACCTCGTGTTTGCTATAATAACGAACACTCGGATTCAATGAGATTTTAGGTCAGGCCCGGCGACCTCGTTGAATCCGAGTTCCACTGTATGATGTGTTGTCTGCGTAATTATTTCTTTGGGAATTTCAAGTTGATGTGAGTGCACTTAAGAATGATCCTCAGGGCTCTCTTGTACACATGTGAAAATTATTTTGTTTTCTTTTTTAGACTTTTTATTTGTACTTTTCAAATGCATCATAAGAGTTTACTGGAGTTAAAGTGCGATAATCAAAAATTGTTTGAATGTGTGATTTATGCATGAAATTTTTCTCCGGCATGCAAAGACAAGAACATTTCCCTTATAATAATAAAATAATAAATAGCATTTGTATAGCGCATATCCCCGCTCAACAGCAGGCTCTATGCGCTTTACACTATATTATTACCCCAGCAGACCATAGAACACTCCGAAACATTCTCAGCTTCCCGGGAAGCATACAGTGCGAGCAACCGATTAAGCGCTCAAACACTAACAAACTGACAAGATCTTTTGCTGTCTATAGCCGGGTACCCATTCCCACCTGGGTGAAGTGAGGAAAATTTGTGTAAAGTGCCTTTCCCAAGGACACAACGTCGGGCCCTTGAAGGGATTCGAACCCACGACCTTACGGTTGCGAGTCCGAGAGCCTAACCACTAGGCCACGGACGCCACAATCACCTCTCCTACTTAGTACTTTTCCTGTATGGTCAATATTTTTCCTGAATTTATTGAAAGTTGAACAAGGTCACACAATTACTGAGGATTTCCTCTTGCCACTCTGTTTGTATTAAAGAAATTTTTGTTAAAAAAAAAAAAAAAAGACTCTCTGCTGGACCTGTTTCCTGCAGCTCTAACTCACTGTCAGACTTAACTTGCCAACTTCTGACAGGGGAAAAATTGATGTGCCAAAAATGTATCTGGCATCCTTCATCGTTCATCACTGTCTGAACAAATACCTGTATTTCATATTGTTGTGCGGTTTTCATGTATTATTTTTGTCTTCCTCTAAATTGCAAGTATCAGCAGAAAGGTGTGCCAGGAAGATATATGGATGAAACAGTCTCTGTTTTTCTAAATCAAATCTTGCTGAAATCAGGCGCTCGTCAAAATAATAAAATATAAGAAATTCTTTCATATATGAGAACAGTTTTTATGGATTTTTTTTTTGCTCTACACCTAATTATGTCCACCTAAGAACACGTTTCTGTCTGAATTTCATAGAAAAGTATTGATAGAGGGCACAAAAAAAATGTAATTTATATTTTTCAAGGACACTCAAGCTTTGGAATTTACCAAACTTATTTTTACCTCTGAGACCAGGTGATCCTCACCTCCTTCAAACGCAAATATCTCAACATTTATTCAAGATAGATGGGCTGGGTATTTTTTCATCAAAAGAAGGACAAATAAACACGTTTTAAGATTAAGATGATACCAATAACTCCATGTGCCTAAAAATTATTGAGAGCCTGATTTCACTGCCTTGTGACAAATTAGAATTAAGGGTTTAAAATTTTGTTTTGTACACTTCCAACTCAGAAAGGGATAAAGTCAATAGCAACATTGCAAGCAAAGGAAAGGATGACAATTTGCTTAGTTAGAGTCATGTCTTGTCCCACATTGTCTTTGCTTCAGACACAGTCACATCACCAGTGACAGTATCATCCGTTCTTGATGAACATGCATTAGTTCAGAAAATTACACAACTTTTTGGAAATGATTCATGTGGTTGTATTATATTATTTGTGAGGTGTGCTGACAAAATGAGTTACTTCTCGCTATCCAAGAAAGGAGATCCAGCTGAAAATCGACTCAGGGGTCAGGTTTATTGACTTCCAATGAATGCCATTTTGGTCAAATCTGCTATGTCTTTTATTATTTCATACATGTATAATCATATAAAAATCGTACGGACTCAACCTAAAAAGTTGATGTGTCTGTTTCCATAAAAGGCTAAAATCCAAGAAGTAACTGATTTTGTCAGCACATCTCACATTTGTGCAACAGGTGGCCAGTAGCTCTCGCAGGCTACATGTGTTTGTTTCTCATACCTTTGGAATCTACACATTTTCAAAATACCCATGTGTTTAAAAGCTGAAAATGGCCTATTCATTATATGCCCAAAATTTCTTTTGAAACCTCTCATTGTCCGGTGTCATGGTCTTTTTCCCTGGCCTGATTTATGTCCGTTTAAAGTATGTGTTGTCCATAGCTTTCAGATGTTTTTCTTTCTTCCACCAGGATGAGTTGAGAGAGGGTCCTGATCATGTCAGCTCTTGTGGTGGAAGACGAGCTTCTTCTGAAATGATAGGAAAGTTTGCAGCTTTTGAGTGTTCATATTGTTCAGTGATACTCACCAAACAAGCTGACCTCACTGTGCACAGCAAGAACTGCCCTGCTCCTTCATGCTACATGATTTGCTTGACTTGTGGAGAAAAGTTTCACAGCAAGCCCGAGATGAGGCAGCACTTGAAGTTTGCCCATAGTCACAAGACATTCAGCTGCAAGTTTTGTGACTTGATGTTTCTAAGCAGCTCAGGTCTTCTTAGTCATACCAAAGCCAAACACAAGCCTGACTCAAAAACTCTGTGTCAGATATGCGGTCAAGCCTTTCATAATCGAGCCAACTTGGAGGGACATATGAATATGCATTTAGGTATTCGGCCATTTACTTGTAAAAAATGTGGAAAAGGATATGGACATTCAAAATCTCTAATGACTCATGAAAAGAACTGCAAGTCTGTTGGTTCATCAGGCAAGTCTCGTGCAGCACATCATATGAAAAGGCAGTCTAACAGAGGGGCATCTGCTGGGAAGAAGACGAGTGCTCCTTCACAAGTATCTCAGAGACAGGGAAACAATATGGACACTGACCAAACACACAAGACAGCATTGACTCCCACTCCCAGTGCACCCCAGGCTTTCTCATACTCGGAATCAGTTCCAACTTACTCTGTTTATCAGACCATGAAGAAAACAGACCAACAGGGAGACAGTTCACAACAGCCCATGTCTCCGTCCCATCAAGAGTTTCCTTTTAGCCAGTCATATCAGGCCTTGCAATCTGTGGATCTGTCCAACATGTCTACCCCAGGACAAGCTGTTGGAGAGAATGTTTATTCTCAACCTTCCAGTGAAGGCTTTGTGCTTCCTCAGTTGGCTTATGGACTATACTCACAAGAGTTGTTACCAGAGCATGGATGACGCATGATTTCGTTTGATTTTATTGATAAGTTGTGTTATATTATACCAATGACTGCTCAAGAACAGTACTCTGTTGAGTTCGTGTGGATTGTTTAGTATGAATACTGGTTTGCTGAAAGAGCTCACAAGACAAAAATATGCTCTAAACTTAAAGGGGGGAAAAAAGGATGAGACAAATGCTCAGAATATTGTGGTTTTAGTTTTATGAATTTGTTGAATTCTTTTAAAGGGAAAATGCAAGTTAGGATGAGTAAAAGGTTTGGTTAGGGGATTTAATAAAGGACTATAAAATAACATGTCTTTTTCCTCTAGATTTGCAAATGTTTTACCCATTAGTCTGCCTATTTCTTGTGGAATTGTTTACATTTCATGCATTGTAAAATTATAAAGCAAAGTGTTACGGAATATGTGTTCAGTTAAGTGTGGCTTGCCAATCATTAAGAAAGCTATCATAGAACTGTACTGTGTCATCAACTACTCTTGACCCAGCTGTTTGTGTGTTCTGGTTATTGACATGCGACACATATGATTAAGGGAATGTTCATTTGTATGCCGAGATGATGACAGTTGTGAATTTTTTTGTGATGAAAGTACATGAAAAAAATTGATAATTGAAAATCTGTTCGTTGTGTGCATGCTAGACTGTATGTGTGTGTGCATGCCTGACAAAAGGGCCCATATGTGAGCAAAGTCAATTTTGAGCTGCAAGCCTACGAAGTTTAAGTGATCACAGGTCAAAAATGTAGATCAACCAGAAAATCAAAGTTTATGTTTTCTTATTATACTTCAAAAGGCTCAGCTTTATTTGTAAGTTCATGTAGTATAAAAAATTTAGTTTATTTTAGTGTATTGGTGAAATTTGAAAATTAACTGGCTCAGATAGACCTGTTTTTTAGTCGCTATTTGACACTACACTGTCGGATATGTTTTTATTTCTACACAAATTTTATAGAAAAAATTTTTAAGTGCTATCTACCCTACACTGCTCGCGAGTCCAGTCGTTTACATTCCAACGGCACCAAGTGTACATTTGTACTTGCATAGATGTCGATAGTATCAATTTCTATGCTGTACTGTACCATTTGAACCTTTTGTACAGAAATATCTACATATCAACTCAACAAATACCGTAGGGTACCAAAATATCAGTATGACACAGCCACATAAATTACAACGTGTGTTTAATTAAATAATACTCATAAGAAACCGCAGCATCAATATACACTTCCACTACTTCCAGCATCAGCATAGAGAAATTGCAGCTGGAAAAAGAAATTTAATAAATTTAATCCAGGACTAAAAGGAGCTGTAGAAAAATGCCTAAAAATTCAATGAAATTACTCAGGAGCCCTGGATAGAGCCCAGGGTTCAAAGGGTTACAGTTTTTTAAAATTAAACAAATGTTTATTGAATTAATATCAAATAGTGTAAAAGTACAAGTGAGGCGAGGGAGAATAGCAGTTGTAATGGCTTATAGTTTATTCATAAATAAATGTAATTTTAAAGCTGTCTTTCTCAAACTTACTTTTGTACCTCCTCTTATTTATAATGAAACTTGCAATAGATCTAGTGCATGCCTGTGTATCTCCAAAAGTACTTGAAAAATAAAGAAAAAACCCTGCAGATTCAGTTTGGAAAAACTTATGAAACTACACCTTTATAATCTCAATTTCGAACATTGCAGTCATAATAGTCATGAGCCTTTTTTTGTCAGGCACACACAATAAACACATGTACTGTTGTTGTAGCATACATATGTGGAAGTTGGAATTCAGAGGTGAACGTTGGTTGTGTAACTTAAAATCATTATACGAGTAATCGATTTTGCATTGTGATTGGTGCATGCACTTATTAAAAATTTAGAATGAATGATCATAATGGCTGTAAAGTAAAGATGGCCAGTACCAACATCTTCAATAAAACAGCATTTTTTTCTATTTGACTTCCTTGTTTTGACTCGTCTGGTTAATTCAAATACCAAAGGCCTACTGGAAAAATTGTATGGAGAGTGATGCATGGTTGTGATATATTTTCAAATATATATATAATTATATTATTATACACGATATTAAAATTATATCATTAAAGGAGACTACCCACATGAAGTCAACATCAACTCTTTTTAAACTTGTTACATAGCTTATTAATATATTAATAGCAAAGACAATCACAGATATAAGTTGTGTAACTGCATTATATCACTTGATAGTCTATTTGTTCTGTAGAGTGAAGGCCAAGCAGTCTTTTCAATACCATTAGCTGGCTTGTTTGTTTTCAATGCTCAGTTTTCATCTTTGAAGGGACATGCAGCATTGCTGCACTTCAGCGTTTATTGTTGTCGTTATTATAATACATATGTACGTGTAGTAGGCTACTACAACTATCCATTCCCACCTGGGAAAACAAGTGAGGAAAATTTGTGTAGTTCTTTTCCAAGGACACGCCGGGCCCCTGATGGGATTCGAACCCACGACCTTATGGTTGAGAGTGACAAGGTTGCAAGCCCACCTCCTAAATAATTTAAATTGTGGCGATGGGGGTGTAAATTGTAAAGTCATCTATAATCCCCCCCCCCCCCCCCCCCCCAATGACATGTGCCATTTGCACATTTTCCCCCAACGCCTGGTGACTTCCTGTCGTTCCTATTCCCAAACCAGGCAAAGATCACACAAATCCATCCAATAACAAACCAATTGCTTTTAAGTCTTCATATGTAAACTTTTAGAAAAAAAAATAACGACTCGTGTGATTTGATACCCCAGGCTCTCAAACGTTAATTTACGTCGTAGTCTCTTATTATTAATTTATTAAAGATTCAGATTCTGAATATCTTGATCCACTCCGAATCCGCCAGGATACTTTAATCATTTAAGTTTAATTAAGCAGCCAGTAAATCTATTATTATAATCTATACGCCTTTTCACCGTGGAAAAAAAATTCTACGGGCGTTTTGACATGTGGGAAAAAAGGCTATGCGTGTTTTCACGACCTGTCGAAGACATACCGGTTCTTACCGCAGAGGTTTAGACCTATTACTATTAACATTAGCAGCTAAAATACGAATTTTTTTTAACGGTTTTTTTAACGGTAGAGTTTCTAATTTTGGACCTGTTCTACCACCATTCCGATTTAAGGTGTCAAAACTACCGGATTTGCGATGGGTGCAGAGTTCTTCCTACTTTCCCTTGCGAAACCCGGAGGCTACATCCCGAAATTCTGTTCTTGCCGCATCATCTATGCAGCATCATGTGTTTTAAAAAACTTTGAAGAGAAAGAGGGAGAGAGAGAGGGGGGGGGGGGGGCACTTTCCTTTTTAGCTTCTCGGACGGTAGATCAAGAATCTCACTAAGTTGTAGTTGTAGGCCGATTTGCGCGCCCTCGATATTGTCCTTCTACTCATGTGTGGCTCGGTCGTGAAAATAACGGCAGCCAAAATAAGGACTTATTTTTAAAAAAAGCGAAATTGTGCTCTGGTTTTGACATTCTACCATCGAACGTGTAAAAAAAAAAAGATAGAAAATTAGAGTAGGCTTGGTGATCGTACCGTCAAGTTTGATGTTCCCGGATTTGCGTAGCTTACTGTCAGTGTCAAGGATGCGATGACAAATTGAATAGCGGAAATGGAATAATACCATCCTTTCGATTTTGTGTATCTTACATCTGATTCAAGTGATTCCATGTTATGTGTGTTACATCTAATCTAAGCTCTACTTTCTTCACGTCTCTTGAAGAAAAGCTTCTACAACAAGAGCATGTTTAAAATAATGTGCAGGTATCGGGTCTAGCCATCGCCAGCAATCGTTCGCCACTTCAGAGAGAGAGCTCTAGGGGTTTCTCAGAGTAAGGTAAGGGGTGGGCCTAGATCTACGATTTCAACCCTCTAAATTGATGTTACAAATAACCACCAACAACAACAACAAAATGGTCGGTTGAAAGTGACGGTCGCGACAGTCGGCAACAGTCTGCATGAAGAACATGTAGTGTGTGCCAACTAGCTGTATGTGTTACCAAAAGACTTTATGGCATTTCCCACTAAGTTTTTATTTTTTTAATGACAATACAAAGTGCCTTCTTCTTCGATAAAAAATAAAGAGTAATAAATACAACCAAACGATTCAAATAAATACACAGAAACGGTAGATCTAGGTCTAAATCCATTGATAGTTTATACATGTAACCAAAAGTGTTATACAGTGGAGTCCACCAATAACGAGTCCGGAAAAAACGAGAAGTCTGTTATAAAGACACTATTCTAAAACCCCGTTTTTTTCCTCTTCTTTACCTTTGTGAATAAAATACTGCTAAAGCGCAATCAAACAAACACGTGAGTCGGTTATAGCGGAATATTGCTGCTGCTGCTGTATACAGTGCATAGGCCAATTATACATCATGTAAAACCTCGCTAGTTGAGAAACTTGTTGGTGATCTAGCGAAACAAAGAATGGGAGAGCCCATGTGTGTCAACAATGAAGGCCGGAGCGACTGAGTAGGTAGGGTGTGGCTTGCGCAGACAAGCAGAACGCATCGCGTGATGATACGCCAGCGTAAGCCTAGTTTAGATTATCAAGGCCTACCATGCCTCTCACTTCTCCAATGCAGGGGTGGAGAGGTCACAGCAATGTAATGGATGGAGCGAATGAGTGACGTGCGCAAGCTGACGGAATGCACCACAGGGTGTGATGGGGTGGGGGACAACCAAGGAGTTTAGAACTAATATTTTAATATCCTTGGGGACAACACAGCGGGTGAGTTAGCCCAGAGCCCTTTCTTTCTGATCGGCAACGCCGAGCTGTCAACATCGCTAGATCTAGCGCTAGAGAAAGAAACCTGATTCGATTTTTTATCAAGTAAGGCCTGGAGGTCATGTTGAAACAAAGTTATCATCAGGGGATATAGCAAAAGGAAATAAACAGAACACCACTCATAGATTGCGTACTTTACAGTTTCCCTTGAATTTATTACTGGATCCCTTTTATATCGAAAATCCTGCTATAACGGACATTTTGCTCCGGTCCCCTCCCTTTTGTTATAACAGGATTCCACTGTACTATACACATTTTGACAATATCTATAGGCTATAAGCATACCGGTCCGGAAACCCCCCCAAAAAAGTCATTATTATGCAGTGCTTTCAAATAACATACAGCATATTCACTCCAAAAATTAATCTTTTTGCATTTTGGTGGACCGCTCATGGAATGGGCCAGAGAGAGACAGAGAGAGAGAGAGGCAGAGAGAGAGAGAGAGAGAGAGTAATTAGGACTAGAGTAAAGCCACTATTTGCGGCCACTTTCCTTATAAAGTCAATAACTCGGGTCTTGTTTCATTTTCCAAACGGAAACCAAGCTCCTGTGATGCACTGGCAATACTGGCATGAATCACATGTTCACGACCAAAATGGTCTCGATAGGCAGCAAAGTTTGAGATCGGCAGTGGTTTGAAGAATTTGGTCGAGCAAAATATCCCAAAGTGAAAATTTGACTGGTCACTTGTCCATGTTCATTACAAAGCTTTCTTGTCATATTTTTATTCGATTATAGATAGGTTCATGTGTTGAAGTAGTGAATAATTAAATACATGTTTCATGTGTAAATGTCTTAACATAAAGAAAACAACAAAGGGGACCCAGGGCTGAGGGAGGGGATGGCCGCATGGTTATTCCCTTACTTTTTAGAAGGGACCTCTTGTGATCGGAGACGTCCGCAAAAGGTCCACTCCATTGGAAAAGGGACATTGTTCAATGTTGTGATCAGTTGCTAACAGTGCCCATTTAACAGCAATTTGGCTTACAAAAATAACTTACATAAATGCACTCAGAAAGCCTGGTTTGTAGTTCTTGACTTCAATGTGATAGATCAATCAAGACCGACTCCTTCAGATTTGGTGCAGTCTGAAGAAACTGCCCTGTCACTTGCCAGGCCCAGGGAATCCAAGAATCACCGAGACCCAGGAATGCCCCGAGAATTTGAGGAAATCTGTAATTTGCCTCGAGAATGACCCGGGAAAGTACATAAAGTTATCGACATTTGAAAACCAAATCCGATAAGGCCAGTAAGTTCATTTATGGTGGTCGCGATTGAGTGATATTCATTCGGCTTTTCTCGATCTGATAACGCAACATTTGTGACATGCGTGTTGTGAATTATAAACACTGTGTTGTCATGAAAATAAATCAATAGATTCTATTTGTGACTGTGAGAGAGAGAGAGAGAGAGAGAGAGAGAGAGGGAGAGAGAGGAGAGGGAAGAGAGAGAGAGAGAGAGAGAGAGAGAGAGGGGGGGGGGAGAAATAAAAACTTGGTGGGAAATGTCGTAAAGTCTTTTGGTCACACATATGTATAATTATAATTATATACAGCCAGTTGACATACAATACTTTTAAAATGCAGACTGTTGCTGACTGTCGCCGACCGTCACTTTCATTTTCAATCGACCCAAAAGAACCGATAAAATCAAGACTTAATCTTATAACTTATTGCAGTTTCTTTGATGTGTCTCTGCTCGTGCGGTCGTAGCTTCCTTCCATGAAGTACTATACTGCTACCACTCCGTTGGTTAGTGTCTTGACTCGTCTTTGATTGTCGTGTTGTTCTTGGCGGTGACTGATTTCGAGGATTTTTTTTTCTTCTGAAAACATACTTTGTACCGCAGTACTTCCGAAATTCTTCCTCAAACTCACGATACGATTTAATTTTTAAAATTCGTCCCATTTCGAAGGAATGGAGATTTGCATCCGCCGTTCTTATTGAGAGAGAGAGAGAGAGAGAGAGAAGCATGGCCAGCAGAGTCTGAGCAGAGGGCAGAGAGTCTATGACCTCTGGCATGACCCAGCTGTTCACCGATTGGTCCAAAGAGACAAACAAGTCGTGAAAACGTGCGTAGATCTTTTTCCACGACAGGTCGTGACATAATTTTTAAAAAATATTTAATATCTATAATATATATATATGGCATTGAACTCTGTAGACTCCCCAAAATCATCTTTTCTAATATTGTCCGATTCCTCGTCTTGTTTCACTTTCCTCACCAATTTTACACTCGATTTAAACCCTTCAAAAATACAATAGTGAAATTACAGTGAAAAATTCACTCCGCTGAACAGGGAAAACTTATTGTGTTTGTAAAGTTACCTAGTCATGTGAGCATCCAAGGAAACCTGGTGAAGGAATCCTTGTCTCTCCAGTTGGGATCAACAGAGATCACCCTCTCACAGACAGTTGAGTCTGAGACAGAGTTTAAAAAATAAGGTCAAAAGCTACACCTCCGCTATGTGGAAGGAACAATGGAATGAACAAGTGAAATAAACTCCATAACATAACACACAAGTTTGGGCCACAATAACCCTCGAGTCTCTCTAGAACTAGAAGTAGAAGTGACAAAGCTATTTTTTACAGCTATTTTTTTTACAAAGTTACGCATTTGACATACCTCCCCAATACATACCTACTGTCCCAGTCCCAGACTTGATGACAGGAAAAAAAATACATTTTATAATTTTGCAAAGATCTGCTCCAAATTTAAGAAGAATTATGTTTGATCATCAGAATGCCATAATTCATGCTCAAAATGTTAATGGGTTAGATGAGCACCGCTGTATCAGCCATGTCTTGGAGTAACCCAGAAAAGGCCTTTTGCATTAAAAGCTGAATTCAAGTCTGCACAGAAGCTTCAGTTCAATCCTATTTTTTATTTTTTTTATTGTGAGGAGTAGGAGCTGATTCCAGATCTAGATCTAAAGCACCTTCTGAAAGAGCAATTTGTAGAGTACAGTAGTATGAACAGTTTAAGTTCAAGGTGAGAAGATGTCTGTCAGAAGGCTATTTTATTAAAGATATTAAGGAAGGAAGTAAAGTAAGCATTAATAAAACTGCAAACTGTGATATCAGATCATGCGTCAACATCGTAGCCATGAACTAGGCTTGTCAAAGTCCCTGACTTACAGAATCTTAGGCATGATTTGAAAAAGAGGAAAAGCTATCACATTTTTTTCCACAAAGAAATAACCCCAGATAATCCTTTGGAGAGAACAACATTGAGTGCGAGGGTTTTGAAGACAAGTGAGACAGAAAGAGAACTTTCAATGCTCTGTTTGCTTTTTAGCAACAAGGTTCATTTCTATGGTACCGGTACTAGTTTGTTTTTGTTTTTGTAAGTCTTTTACAGCACTCGCAACTGCATAAGGTCATCATATAAGCGCGCGGGACACATTAAACTTTTTCAGTTGGTAGGAAATTTTGAATTTTGCCCGGGTGGCGGCCGAAGCCTACTCTTATCGATTTTAGACCACCAAGGGATCTTTAACGTGCGCAACTTGCACACGGGCCCTCCGAGATTTTTCGCTATTGTCCGAGAAGGCTAGGTGTAGATCTTTCCTACCAGAAGATTAGGGGTGTGGCTGAAAGACAGCAGTAAAAAGAAGCCAAGGAGTAGTAGTAGGAAGGCTGTAGAAAGAATCAGGAGCCCAGAGGAGGGGGGGGGGGGCAAAGGAGATGAGGGAGTGGGGTGTAGAAAGAGGAGACGAAAGCAGACGACAGAACATTGCTAGAGAGCAGGAAAGGAGGTGAAAGGAGACAAATTTAGAGAAGAAAATTTATCGGTCACTACCCGGCTTCGAACCCGGGACCTTTGAATGAGAGGCAAACACCTTAACCTCTAGGCCACGAGAGCCCCCCTGCATTGGACTGGGAAATGGAAAGACCAGATGATGTGAATAAGAGGATCTAAAAAATCGAGATCAACCACATGTAATAGTGTCAGAACGCTGCATTTTTAGTCAGATCACAGAAATGCATTGTTCATGATGGGGGCGAAGTGGAGCATTTGTTGTAAAGCCATAAGTTCTAATGCGGATTCCTCTTCCATGCAGATCTAATATCTTACACAAAACTGTCTGGATGGTTCCTTACTTTGTGTTTCTACCAAAGAACTTTGCTGCATTTAAAGCAGATTTTAATTCATTTAACTTCTTTTGGCGGTCATCGAGTTGGGGACATTCTGTATGTAGCATCTGCAATAGATGAAAACACCATTTTGTGCCGGATGCAATGCTGACCTTATGATTAGGTATATCGTGATAGAAATAGAATATCCGGATTTTGGAATGACCCGGAGGAAATATATTTTCATTACACCATAAACAATGAGATTTGGTATTCAAAGACAGGATATACTGTCCATTACATTTGTAACTCAGAGTGAACAAAACAGAACTCCAGATCTATCATGGGCTCAAACTAAAACAACATACTTTATTGGATTTCAACAGGGGCCAAGTTCTGGCTTTCATGAGCAAATTTTTGGTTTATATGTATATCACAGCAAAGACAAGGAATGTAAGTACATGTAACTGTAAAACAATTCAGTTAAAAATTATCTTGATATACAGTAGAGTCCGCAAAACCGACATCAGCTTGACCATGGGATTTTCTTCGATTTTGTTGGGTTTTTGGGAGAGGTTGCTCAAATACAGTGCAGCCTCTCTACAACGACATCATCGGGATCAGAAAAATATGTCGTTATGGAGAGTTGCGGTTATAGAGAGGCAACCAAAAATTACTAATATAATATATATATATATATATATATATTTTTTTTTTTTAAAGGAAAAAATCGGGACCTGGGCACCATGTTGTTATAGAGAATGTCGTTATATCGAAGGTCGTTATAGAGAAGCTGCACTATAGAAGGAAAAATAATCGGAGGTTTCATTTTCATTCAGTTTACCAAAGTTTACTGATTAACCATGCTCAGTTTTAGTGGACTCCACCGTATAAGACTGTTGGTACTTGTATTTAACAAAAGAAAAAATTAATGTAGAGGATTTCACTTCAGTATTTTTGAAGGGCACAAAATAAAAACAAATTAGAAAGGTTAGGTGGCAGGATGCGATCAAAGACAGACTTTTAAGTAAGGTTGTTTCTTCCTCTTTCTCGATTTTCTTCTTCTTCCTCATTCTCGATAAGGTTGTTTAAATTTAAGAAGTGGGACCTCCAAATTTAATGTCCATCTCCGATAAAACTGAGCCAAATGGAAAAATGAGTGTAAAGGGCCTTAACTAAGGACACAACGTTTGCCGCGCTGACGCTCTAACCCCCAAAAAACCAGCAACCTTACAGTAGCAAGTAAAATAGCCTACCCACCAAGTTAGAGATGCCACATTGTTAGGTGCTGAATTATGTTCGTGTTTTTGTTCGTATATGTGTGTTGTATGTGGTTGGTGGGTGGTGTGAACTGACCAGTCGTATTCCTTACATCACCATAATAATAGGGATCTGATGTAAGAGCAATTTTTTTTTACGGTGCAAGGCTCATCAGCATTACTCTCTTCCTTTCTTTTACTACTTTGACACCGAATGATACACACGCACTATCCGCCCTTCATCCCTTTTATTTAAACCAGGTATAATTGGGCACAGATACCACAAACACTTCAAACTCAAAATTATGGATAGCTCATACCATATGCCATTCCCTGACTGAACCACTATATTTTCTTTGCATTGGCAATACTGTTCTCTCAAACACTCGTACAGTAGAACATGACAAAAGTGGCACCCACTGCAGCCGGACCATCCCTACTACAGCGGGACATTACTGTTTTTTTTGTCTATGTAAACTCAATTAACTGTGCATGGGTTAAATGGGGCAAGGAAAAGCCCGAACTTGGATACAGCAGGAGAAATCGAGCGAGCTCTAGCTGGGGGGAAAGGGGTGGGGGGTGAGAGGCTGTAGGTGGGCTCCATACAGGCAGTCAGTGGTGTAGCACTGTGATTGGCCAGTCCAGTGATGAATGAGGGGGGGCAGGCAGCAGAGAGAGATGGTGCGGAGAGACGCATTACGTGAGCCACTCCAAAAGTGAAGTTAAATAGCCCTAGGCCAGACCAAAAAGACAGTAAAAGAAGAGGAGAGCGAGTGGTGTGTGATTTTTCTATAATTCCCCTTTGCATTTCGAGCCGGAACTTGCCTGCAGCGGGATTCTTCTTCTGAAGCTAAAAGCCTCGCTACAGCCATGTTCTACTGTACTGATTTGTCGAACAACTCGTCCAGGATAACTCAATCAAATCTTTCTTCACAACGGTCATTCATTTTCTGACCATTGTACCGCCACCGTTACTGCCCTTGATTTTCTTTATATCTCTCTCTTTTTTTAAATTGCGCTACTCGCATTACCGATGTGTCGCACACATTTGTCATTCCCTGAAATGTTTGAGTTGTCCATGTCTAATTGTATAAATCGATATGTCAACACCCAAGTACTGTAGGTAAATATAAATCATAAAGAGTAGTAAATATGCCAAAAAAGGAAATGAAATACATCAATTCAAATTAAGACTTGAAAATACAGATTGTCTAAAAACCCACTTATACCCTGAAAAAGAAGGTGTGGCAGATAATTACAAAACAAAAACCCTAAAAAATAATCAACAGTTAGACATGTTTTTGTCCACTATTTGGACATTTCCAGACTGCCCCTAAATCAACTCGATGCATCAGCAGGCAGTTGTGAGTAAAAGCAGTGAAACAATGATCTGCCCTACTCAGGGCACATTACAAGTCAGCCAAAGCAGTACTAGCAGCAAGTCTTCCTGGAGCTCCCATCACACCTCCGCCTGGGAAAGATACAACAAAAAAGAATAAGAATAGTCAGTACATCAAATATGTTGCTGTAATCAGGAAGAACAGACCTAAATAAAAAAACAAGTCTAAGTCTACTCTGAAAAAGTAGGTACCAGAAACTAAATTTTCAAACTAGCTGTATGCCAAATTTATCAGTTCCACTTGAAAGGCCTATATCCACTGAGCATTTTGGTACCATTCTTTAACATCTCCATCAATTTTTAAGAAAATTGTAGTTGTTTAAAATTTGATCAAATTTGTTAAAGTCAGTCACTGGCTGCAACCCCATGTTTGACAGACAATAAAAAAGTAACAAGTGCACTAAACATCTCCACATTAACAGAGTACAATCACTATAACAAATATATGGAGCATAATTTTTTTCAAGACTGTGAGATCTTTACAAATCAGTACTTTATCTCCTCAAACACGATATCTGTCGAGCGTTGAGCCGCCCGGCGTCCGAGTCGGCTCTATACTGTAGTGTACCCCGTGCTGGGTCACATGCTTTCTGTGACTCGCGGAAGGATTGATGTAAAATAATTCCAATTTAATTACTTTATTCTAATAGGAAATGAACTGATCTTTTAATTAAGTCTTTTTATAAGACGGTATTTTACATATTTTGTGTAAAAAGTGATCTTTAAACATTTCGACGGTATTTTTAAAAGCTTTCTATAAAGACGCCAAAGGCTAAACTTATATCACGGGAAAGCCCGTTTAAAGCTCTACAGTTCTCCGCCAATGAAAAGACGGTATTTAATCAACCCTCGTTCCGCGAAGCATTTGAATGCACGCGTGTCAATTTTTCAACCGGCCGACCTCACATTTTGACCGCGAGGGGCTTCGCTTTCGTCGGCGATTCTCCAGCTCCTAATAATCGGACATATAAACAACTTACACCATTGTAACGAGGAAAAGCTGAACTTTTACAAGGTGTACGGCATTTGGTGTTTTATAGCGAAAGAGCAAAGAAACAGCGATCGGAATTAACCCGATTTTACCGATACCACGCGGTCGGAAGGCTGCGAGTGCCCGCGAGGCCGTGTTTACGCTACCTAGAAAAAGCAAACATCTTTTATCTTTTTATTAAAACCCATTTGTTGCCTTATGACGTACATGGAACATCACTGAAATGTGTAATTTTTAGCTTCGTGCCATATCATGGATGTCAGTGTTTCTGGTTGCCTATAAGACGTTACCCGAAGGTCCCACTTATCATCTGGCTCTAATTCTTCTGTACTGAGATTTAGTGACAAGCATAGAGTGAATTTGTATTCGGGAATTTTTTAATGTGCATATCGGTACCAAATTTACTAGTATTACTTAACTGCCTGGCTTGCAAGCTGTCGAAAACAGAAAAGCACTTACTCTTGCAAAACATTAACACCAAAATGACATAAAATAGGCATCAAATTTCCCTTTTTGACCTAGATTTTGCATCTTGTTTAAAATTATGTGTAAGATGGAGATATATATAGGGAATGAAAACAGAGGGGAATGTGATACCATCAAAGATCTGGGGTTCGAATGTGTCATAAATGTGTCAGATCTAAACAGCGAGTTCACCGGCACTGAAGCATGAGACTGCTATCCCATCAAACGAGCTTTGCTGAAAATCAGTGCCGACAATAGGAACACACACCCCACGGCAATGAAGGGGTTAAAATTTAGGTATTTTTATGTCCCATCAACACAATTTAGACCATTTAGGCTTAGGAGGCGGGCTTCCGACCCTGCCTATCAGGGCCAACCTGAGCTGAAAGGGATACAACATCCAAGCAGAAAGACCAAGATACCAGTAGATAAAAATTTCTTCCCATTCGGGAATCAAACTTGGGTCTCCTGTGTGCGATGCCAGTAAAGCAATCATCAGACACCTGAGCACAATATTAAAAAAAACCTTTCCATTTTCTGATAAATAACAATAACCAACATCTGTATCAAAATAGATTGTTACAGTTAACCATAATACTCAATTCGAGTGTGACAACAAAGCATGAAAGGTAAAGTATACAAAAAAGTCACAGTCAAAGAGAGAAATATACTCACCAGGATGCGAACCGCTGCCACAGAGATACAAACCAGACACAGGGCACTTGTAGCTGGCCAGGCCAGGAGTAGGTCGAGAGAAGTACAGCTGATCCAGGGACATGGAGCCATGGAAAATGTTCTGTAAAACAAACAAAGAAAGAGTATTATTCAATTGAAATTGGTTTCAAATTAATTCTCAAACATGAATTTTATCAAGGATCACTATCAATGAGAGAGATTGTTAAAGTATGATTATCTAGGGCCTTTGTTGTTAAGAACTTACAAGTCTATGTTAAAAAAGAAAATACATTTTTTATTGAAAACTTCATCCACAAAGAGAACTTAATGAAAAGGCATTCATCTCAGAAAACATAAAAACTTCACAATCTAAATATGGCCATCGCAATATCAGTAGCAACTGCTTATCTACAAAAATAGCAGAAAGACAACAATCTTTAATAAATTCAAAATTTTTTCTTTTTAAATTCTTCAGGTAAAATTAGCTAAAAAAACCCAGCCTTGTAACTTCCTGAATGACCTTCCATTGTGAGTAAGATTAACTTGAAATCTCCTTTGTTAAATGCTGTGACATTCCCTCAAAAATATAACCTCCAACCCTGCAGGTAACTAACTCTCCATCATTATAGGATATCCTGAGACTGTTGGTTTTTCATCAAATTATTAATATGACAGGGACATAGTAATAGTATAGTAAAATACAAATATGTAAAAGAGGATAGTAAAAAAAAAATTAAACATTAAACACTTACACCTCCCGTGAGCCCAAATGTTTTTTCCAGGTCTGGAGGGGTCAAAATATCTCTTCCAATGACAGAGTCTTTGAATCCAGGGGCATATCTCTCAATTGTATCAAAGACTGGAAAGAAAAAAGTGCCGACCGTCACAACAACAACAACAATTCAAGAAAAATCAGTGAACATCTGCTTTAAAAAAAACAACAGATCTGCAAGATGCTCCGCTGAAGTTTGCAGTGTAAACATCTTTCAACAGTTATCGAGAAACCCCTGACAGCATGTGTCTTCGTTTCACACACAAAATTTATTTAACTGTGGGGCAGAGTTCAGGCTTCTTCAAAAAAGCAAAACACAAAAGTCGTAATTATTCAAATCAATGGAAGACAAGTTACAATTTAGTCTCTGTACAGACTACCTCAGATTTCTTCTTGTTATTACAGACGATAGTTTATGGACATTTTGCCTAAAATCAGTGCCATTTTTCAACATTGTTTTGCACCCTTCACCTATCCAATAACTCTGTTGAATCAATTGAAGGTCCACTCACCAACGTCAGCGTACTTGTTTCTATTAGCATCATCCCACTCTCCCTGGGCCAGCTTGTATGGAGTGAACTGGGTGAACAGCAGGACAACATGCTTCCCGGGTGCACACAAAGTAGGGTCTAAGGTGGACGGAATCACCATCTCAATCATGGGCCTTTTGAATATAAACATTTTAACAAACCAAATGACTAGTTGTTGGTTAAAAAAGAAATCCTAATTTCAACCTTAACATTCACACAACTGTGACCAAATACTCTGAGACCAAGATCTTGAAAACTTAGTGCCACTTTCTTCATCAAAGCACAGTACTGAAGTGCATGAAAACATGAAAGATCTGAAGGTATAGCTTGCCGATTTTTTTTCTAATCCAAAATCCATCCATTAATTTAATTATTAAAATATGTAAATTTTGAATCATCAATACGATGCGAAAAACTTTCAAAAGGTGAAATTTGTGACAAGCGTGGCATTCCTAACTCTACACTGTTGAAAACCATCGCTATTTGAACAACCTTCTCTAAACAGAAAGCCCATCTAAACCAGAATAAAATCTGACGGCCCTGCAAATTCTTAAAAAGTGGACTCTATAGTATATATATATTGTGAGCATCCAATTAAACAAACTGACCAAACGCTTTGATTACATAAAAATCCAGAATAGTTCAAATTGGAGATAGACCTAAACAATATCAGCTGTCTCATGGCATATTGTATCCCCAGACTGATTCACTATAATATTCCAGTACACACAAGCTTTAATAACATTCAACCTCATTCAAAACTGGGTCACAGAATTTAAGCTTACCCTAAAAGAGTACCTGTCAGTCTTCTGTATTTTCCTCTTTCATCTAGCTATTGTGAAAATAAAGTTTTCATTGACAAAGAATACTGCTTATTAACTTTTTAGACTGAGCTTTATATCACGCCCTCAGTCCTTCTGTTTGCTAAGAAGACACCTGAGATTGGGAAAGTTCAAATCATTCAGACCTACGTTTTGGTAATTTTTCCTTGCTGAGCATCAAGATATGCATCATGAATCAGCTGACTATCTTCACAGTTCAGATGGATGGTACATTGATGATGAGGCATAGGTTCATTCTCTTTCACATTTGGATCAGCTTTGAAGTTAGGGATCCTGTCAACAGCAACTAGACAAAGAGTGGAGGAAAAAACTGTAAAAAACAAACACCAAGAGCAGTTTTCCTCCCAATAAAAATCTTACGCCAATTTGTTTCTAAAAATACAAACATTAACAACCACCTGCTCAACCATTGCACAAATAGTTCCATAACAGTGTAAACATCCTGTAGAACTATAACCTTTTAAAAAAACGAAGTCGGTCAGGTCATCTTTTGATACTGGTATCAAAGTATTTCTGCTTTTAGTCAGCTGTTTATCGAATGTACAATTGACAAATTTGAAGGAAATTAAAGGGAGATGCCATTATTAAAATTATTTTACACATTACTTCAAGTTTAAACTAATGTAACTTCACTTTCATCTTCACCTATCCTGTAGACTGGATCTCCGTTGGGCGCTTTTGAAGATTTGGCCACCAGCTTCCCTAACTCCTTCCGGTCTTCAGCTTTCCTGAGCGTGTCTTTGAGTTCCAGGCCTGTCCATTCCTTGATGTTGTCCTCCCAACTCTTCTTCAGTCCCCCCCTGCTCCTTTTCCCCTGGACGCTGCCTTGCAGGATCATCTTGGCAAGGCCGGATGAACGGGTGATGTGTCCATACCATAACAGTTTGCGTTTCCTGACCAGAGTGAGAAGGTCAGCATATGGTCCGATTTCATTTTTGATTCGATGTTTGACTTCATCATTTGTGGTGTGATCTTTGTACGAGATACCAAGGATTTTTTAAAAAGCATCTCATCTCCACAGCTTTGATCCTTCTTTCAAGGTCTGCGTTCAAGGTCCAGGTTTCACACGCATACAATAAGATACATGACCAAGGAACGCATCAGTCTGATCTTTGATCTGATGGTGATATTTCTGTCGTTCCAGATGGTTTTCAACTTCGTCTGTCACTATTGGACCCAAGTATTTGAAGCTGCGTACAGTCTCAAGCCTCTGGTTGTGACCTGGATGTTCACTGTGATGTTCTTGCTGTTGTTAGACATTAGTTTGGTCTTCTCAGCACCGGTTTCCATAAGACGGTCTACTAAGCTGACTAGTTCTTGCCTTTCTGGCGGTTATCCTCATTGGCATTTCTTGGGCAATGTCGCAAGGTGGAGCCCATCCCTCTCCATGTCAGACCACAGCTGAAATCCTCCCACCCAGTGGCTCGCCTTGGTCTCGAACACGAAGCCGTTAGGTTAATCTGGGAACTTTTTCCGCCCTGGCCGTTCACCCCATCTTGTGGTTATGCCCAGTGATGCCGTGTTAACATCATCTCCTCACACGGTTTGGCACGCCTGCTGAGGCGAGGTCCCAGGGCATGGCGCTTCGAGCCACGTGTGAGAGATTTAGGAGTCTGGGGGAGAACCAGTGCACCCATCCATTGCACAAGTAGTAATGTAACTATATATGTATATAAGAAGGAGACTGATATACCATTGATCTTGGTCACTGGAGACGTGTAGTCTAAGTGAGAAACTTCCTCCACTGTTTCCTTAGGTAGGGAACCCTTTATGAATAACAAAAAAAGCAAAACTTTTAGAAGTATTGTAGTACACAAAAGTGCTTACTTGGAATACCAAGTATGTATTAAAAAATACCCAGTACGTCAAACTATAAAAATATCTTCTTTGTGCTTTCCTGCCAGATCTGCAACTGATTTTGAAGTATGTGACCGATTTTCCTACTTTGTAGGGCCCTTTGCCTTCAGGCAACTACATTCCTATTTCAAAGACACTATTTTTTTAATACTGAAAAGAAAGTTTTCAGTTTTGAAGAGAATTAATTTTGAATTTTGCCCAGATAGCAGCTGAAACCTACTCTTATTGATTTTAGGACCACGAGGGGAACTTAAACATAGGCAACTTGCACATTATCTTGGAAGACTTGGCATTCAATCTTACCTTCCTCAAGATCAGGGGTGGAGCTGAAAGACAGCAGTAGGTAGGAGCCAGGAGGAGCAGTAAAAAGTGTTGGGAATAACAGGATTGTACTGGGTCTTCTCACATAATGAAAAAAATTAACTATGAGACAAGAGTACCGGTATGCACAAGTTAGCCTTTATCTTTTTCTGATCCATCCGTAATATACAAAATACAGATTTTTCATACTTTGTAAAGATAAATAAAACACAGTCTCGCATATATACATATCAAACATGCACACAGCGAAACATGAGCACAGTGAACAGATTTTCCGGTCCTGAATTTTTTCTTTATACATGATATGTATTTGCTTTGTAATTATATCAAGTACATAGAGGAAAATTTGTACATAACTCAAAGATTTCCACACTCAGCTTATTTTGCTCTGGGAGTGCAAGACTGTACATGAGTTGTTTCTCCTATCAAAGACAAAAATATCGTTACAAAGATAATATTAAAAAGAAGGGAAATTACGGATATTCTGTCTGATTTAATATATCTAGTAAGCTCTCTGAACTTCATTTACAGTTACTGAAGATACAAGTTGAAAATCACTATCAAAGTTTGAACGCACCTTGGGCAAAAGATCCAGGTAGGTCACCTTGGCAGTGGCATTAGACAGCACAGTACTTGTTTTAATCTCTGTTCCATCTGCCAGAACAACACCTCTCACTTTGTTGTTTTCCACATCTACATATGAAACAGGCTGCAATTGACAGTTCAAGAATCAAAATTTACATTTAAGTTTAAGGAAGAAATATTATTTAACTTTTCTTCAGACTAAACTTTAACAAGTAGGTGTGTGAAACGAGATAAAGTTAAATAAGGCTCTCTTCTCATTAAAAAAAAACCTTTCAGGAAAGAGCTGTAAATCTTTTCACAAGACCCATTCACAACTCCAACATACATCCCACTCATCTGATGCGCACCACTAGCTGATGCTCCTCATTCACATTGCCTGTGCAGTCACTTCTCAGTCCAGTATTTGGCGGGTCTCTTTGTAGGTACCACAGACTAAAATTTCAAAGTCCTCTGATTTCATAGTTAACAGCACCACCTTATAGAATTTATTATTTTGAGCCTTTTGATATCAGATGTATACATATAGCTTCATTTTTAACAAAGTTATGAACATCTGAAGTTGCAGAAAAATGCTATATTTTTTAAATTGCGAAATGTCTGCATTTGAGATGTCATAACATTCTTAAATTTAAATGGACATTCACAAATACTTGTAAACACACACCCATGCACATAGACAACAAGCTCAATTTTTTTCAGGGGTATCATATAGCCAGAAGATAGAAATTTATTGACGTAAATATGGCTTTTTGACCAAAATGGCAAGGGGAGGTTAAAAATCCCCACTCTTGACCAGCGGCTTATCAGCTGTGCGCGGGGTCCTACCGACGGGAAGGAGAAAGAATTTATACGAAACTGGGCCGATGGTGGCCCTGCTTGCAAGCTGAAAGGTAGCGTTCGGTATTTATTTTCGTATAATGGCTGTGTTATTCTTGAAGAGGAATGAATGGGCTTTCTGCCGATATATTTCCATAGTCAGTCCAATCACTAGTTCCATAAAAAAACAGCATCGAAAGTTTTCACATGCAAATCTCATCTGTTAATTCTTTAGGGACAGTCTTTAGAAATATATCACCGGAAAGAGTGTTCTCATCTTGAAATATCGACGAATCAGATTGCAGTATTTAATATCATACGCTGCCTGTTTCTGTTCAACCAAGGTCACGCCAAAAAATCGATGCACGAACCGCGCGGTCACTGCCATGAAAACCTCCATAGTATCGTCTTTTATCCCACAGCATCTTGCTTTCAAAGGAATCGTTGATTCAAATAAACAATACCACTAAAAAGTGGAAAAGCTCCTCTTTCTTCTGATATATCAAGTGTCTGTGTGTATGCATGATCACACGTCTTTTTAGGAGGGCAAAAATTTGGGTTTAGGTCTCCGCGACCGTGCGGTACCTACTCTTTGTTAACTGCCACAAATCACCAAGTACGGATGACAAAATTGAAAAAAAGTAAGAGAGGTGATGACACCAAAGCATAAACCAGCCATCCACTTCCCTGTCATAAAAAAAATATTTCTGTACATTACCCTCGACAATGAATTTCAATTTTGTCATCTTTCCTTCTCCTTTTATGAGATCAACCCACTACAACGTTAGTAATGTACAACTGACCAAAGCCTTAGCACAAGGGAAAGGTGGAGGGAGAAAACAAGATTATAAGGTTTGCTCGTTATGTAACTCACTATAGATAGTTACCTTGTCACAAAATATAGAAGCACCATGATCTTGGGCACAGTTAGCAATTGCTTTGGAAACACCGCCCATTCCTCCCTCCACGTAAGCCCATGCTCCTTTCATTCCATCCAACTCTCCCATCACATGATGCAGAAGAACATACCTTAAGAATAAACAGAAAACACCCAAAAGTATAATAAGCTGGAGTTAATGTCGCTGTACACAAGTATGCCTTCATCATAAGTACTCTATTCTCACTGACTTGAGATGAGCACAGCCCATATTACGGAAAAACAGAGTGCATTATTACACACTTCAAGGAGAGACATGTCAGAGCATGGGTTCTTTTCTATCATAAAATATGATCAAGACAAAATCAGCATTATCCATAAACTCATACTGAGCAAGACAGAGCAGCCAGCTTGATAGACCATCCAGGCAGTTCAGACACACATAGGAAAAGACATTAAAAATCAATACGTCGTTTCACATCATCAGACTATCTTTGGGAACTATGAAGGACACAGTCATTCATTCTTAAAAAGCTTTGTAAGACAAGGAAAATAAGGTAATTAGGAAAAAGTATAAGCTTTAGTAAGCACTTGCACAATAGGCTCACCCACTGCCAGGATGCTGGGGACTCGCCATGGCCCCAATGACGGAGTCTGTGGCAAGGGTTGCCTTCAGCGGCTCTGATTCAAACCACCTGTCTAAAATCTGAATGAAAAGGAAAATAAGAAATACTGTTAACAAAGAGAAGGAGAGACAATAGGAAAGTAAATGAAACCTGCAGGAAGATTTGCGAAGTGACATTCCCTTAAAAGACTAAAGAACTTAATTTCCTCCAGTATTGTGAATATCATTTTTGTACATGTCTGTTGTACATTACAATTTACAAATTTACGAATGGAGTACCCGGTGAAGTCCTCAGTTGAAAATGAAAATGTGGAATTAGAAAAACATATAAGTGACAATTCAGTTGTCAGCTGTGGTAATCCTCAACTTTTCCAAGAGTAACATGATAAGTTTCCACTTCAAGTAATTAAGTAACATTCGCATGTGTGCAAGCAAGATAGTGTGTACATTTGTGTGTGTGGTGCACTGGGGAATTTGCATATGAGAGAGAGTGTGATTGTATACGAGAGCCTTTCAACGAAATACATTCTTGCACTATAGTATTATTGAACATAGCCAGAATAAACAGACAGAACTAAATTAAATTGCTTACACATTAGAAAGGTAAACTTAAACGAGAAAGAATACATAATAAATTTCTTCATCATTTTGGCAAGAAAAATATATTATTGTCAGTCCTTTCCCAGTATCATTACATAAGGTAAACATAAATATGCATCCTATCGTACTTTTCAAAAGCTGAATGAACTTATTAAAGAACATGCATCCACAACAAAAAAAAAGAAACAGGGATTTATTGCTTTTATTTAGTCTCTTCAACTTTAACTTTAAGAGCTTAACAGTAAACAACAAGGACCTATTTTCTGTCATTTCTCATTATTACTTCATATATCATTTAGAAACAAGAAGCAATCAAACACAAACTCTGGAGCATGCTGTGGAGCACCGTGGGCAAGACGAAAATGTTTAAGAACACAGATCAAGAATTCTACTCATTTCCAAAGACCTGGTTTTAACGGTCAGAAAGTTAACTGTAAATATTCATTTCAATCTTGATAATCTTTATCCTGATTTCTACAAATATTGAAATGAGGCATCATCATAGAAAATTCAATAATCATTTGCATAAAATGTTCTGTGTTCTTCTTTTGGTAAGTGTTATACGGCGCTTGCAACTGCATATGGTCATATTAAACATTTTCAGTTGATAGGAAATAAACATTTTCAGTTGATAGGAAATTTTGAATTTTGACCGGGTGGCGGCCGAAGCCTACTCTTATCAATCTTAGACAACCAAGGGATATTTAACGTGCACAACTTGCACATGGGACCTCCAAGATTTTTCGCCTTCGTCCGAGAAGGCTAGGTGTAGATCTTTCCTACCAGAAGATCAAGGGGGTGGCTGAAAGACAGCAGTAAAAAGCCAAGGAGTAGCAGTAGAAAGAGTGGAGAAAGAGTCAGGAGCCCAGAGGAGGAGGAAAAAGCAGGTGAGGGGGTGGAGGTAGAAAGTGGAGACGAAAGCAGATGACAGAACATTGCTAAAGAGCAGGAAAGGAGGTGAAAGGAGACAATTTTAGAAAAGAAAATTTTTTGGTCGCTACACCCGGATTCGAACCCGGGACCTTTGAAAGAGGCGAACACCTTAACCTCTAGGCAACGAGAGCCCCCAAATGTTTTGTGTAAAAGAAGTATTTTAAGATTACCTATAAAGAGCACAGTAAGTTATGGGGTACTAATTGCATGTCAGCCACAGTAACAAAAATGGCATAATGTTAGAGCAACCAAAATAATTACAAATTTAAAGCATGAAAAGCAGCCCCATATAAATGTCAGACATCCATAAGCCTCCCCCCCCCCTCCGAAAAAAAGCAAACAACTGTTAGCATCTAGGACACTAAGTCATAGCGTTTAGACTGTATAAATCTTCAATCCAGCC